GCGTTTCGAATTTCGTGTTTCTTCGTTTCGTAAAAATTTTTCGTTTTCGAAATTTCGTGAAATTTTTTTTACTTCGAAACTGGGTACATTTAGAAAGATTGTATTTCTCAAAAACAAAATTTTAATATTTTTCCAATAAATTTACAATAAATTACATTTGTATTTTTACTGCTTTTAAAGAAAATCCCCTCTTTTCTTCAAAAAATTTTCTTCTATTTTTCCTCTATAAAAAGGCTTTTTCTTCCTCTACCATTTTTCCTTTCTTTTCATCGTCAAAATATCGACTGCCCGTAATCCATAGATGAAAGCAAAATTGTTCGGGAGACGAAAAGAGAAAGAGGACCGCTGCAAATTGTGCAAAAACGTTTTTATAGCTAATATTGTTGGGAGGCTATAATGAGCAGAGAAAGAGAGAAAAGGGGACAGTGCCGTCATTTATCCGGTCATATCTTATTAAGGGATGGTCGGATTAGGTTAGTCTAGTTGGATGAATTATTCCGCTTTTCAAGAGCTTTCGAATGATATAAAATTTGTTCAGATCGCCCAAGTCTGAAAGAAGTTATGGTCTGAGACTCAACTGTCCCCCCTATTTATTGGTTAGACATACAGACCTATATTGCTCTAATAAATACAGACAGTTGTGTCTATCTCTAGGTTTGTGTAAAACTCATTGTTTTTAAACACGACACGCTTTTTATCCTTTGTATTTTCTAAGCTTTTTCGTCTAAAATATCATCATTATCTGTTTATTGTTTTACTTGATTTATTTAAATAATTTATTAATTTTGTCACCTATTGTTGAAGTAATTATTTTTTCTTTAACAATTCATTAATTCCTCTTTACAGTAGAGAACAAGGGACGGGCCAGGTTAAGAAAAAACTCGGGTCTGGTTTTTAAAATTTTTTTAGGATCGGATTTCGGTCAAAAAATAGCCCATGCATCGGGTCATGTTTCGGGTACCCGCCCCACCTCTAATAGAGAGAACGAGGATTCAATTACAGGTTTTGACCTTTCACCTCCAAAATATGTACAATCCAATGCAGAATCGTCTGTCAACAAAACTTTTTTAATTTTTGTATTTTTCTCTACCGTCTCTTTCTTTTACATTATCTTTCTTGCTTAGTCAACACTTGTGTGTTAGACTCTACTAACCCTTCAACAAAATTTAAATTTTTGTATTTTTCTCTACCGTCTCTTTCGTTTTCGTAATCTCTCCCGTCTACCAACACTTTCTATTGTAAGACTCTACTACTCCTCTTTATTTCTCCTAAAGGCAATTGCCTCCAATTTTTATGTGTTTCTCTCCTATACAAAGTCACAAAAAAAGCCTTCCTTCACACACAACTATTCTATATTTTCTCGAATATATTTTTCATTTTCTAGTCTCAATCCCCATGACTGCCACCACAACAAAACACTCACTCTTCTCGTCTTTTTTTCCTTTTGTGGTTATTACTAGACCCCCTTTTTTTGTGGGGTAGATGTGTGTATATATTTCAAACTATTTTTTTTTTCAAAACGTTTTTTCCCTTTAATTTTCCCTTCTTTTTATTGATAAAATGGATGAACTTTCATTAAATGTTTGACACAAAAATCTTTTTCAAAATTTTATTTTTTTATTCAGAAATCAATCCTTTCTAGTCTTCCATGGCCCTATTTCAATTGTCCACAGATTCTGCGGTCTGCGTTCTGTGCACAGACCACAGAACCACAGAAATTCTGTTTCAATTATTCCACAGATTCTGCGGAAAAAGAAGTCCGCAGATTCTGTGGAAACATGCACAGAATCTGTGGAAACATCCACAGATTCTGCAAAACATCCAAAAACATGCAAAAACCACAGAATTCTATTTCAATTATTTTTCTGTGCACAGAAAAAAATCCACAGATCTGTGGCTTTTTTAGTCGATTCTGTGCATTTCTGTTTCAATTATTTCTGTGGTCTGCGGAAAATACACAGAATTCTTTAAAAAATCCACCCTAAAATTTTTTCTGCGAACTTTCTGTGGAAAAACTTTAACAATTTTTTTCTAGGCCTAGGCTTAACCAAATTTCAAAATTTTTAAAGATTATTAAAGTTTGAATCATTCTCTATTTTTTGATATAAAAATTATAATTTTATTACCTAAAATTATTGCTTAAAATTAATTTTGAAAAAGGTACATCTTTTTTACGCAGTTTTTGTTATATTCAAGCAATAAAAAAATAAAAAACGTGAGAGATTCTGAAATTTAGAGCTATGATGTTCTAATCATCATGGATATCTCTAATGAGGGGATGTTTACCAGGATCTATAGAAGATATCTGTATAGCGTATACTGGGATATCTCCCATGATCTCTCATTGATATCCGTCATAATCTCTCCTCCTATTTAATGATAGATTTCCTCCTTAATCACTCCAATATATTAAACCTCAAAATCAATGGATATCCCACTTAATCACTCCTCTACGATTTTAAAGTTCAGATTTGACTATAATTTTGGATTCCAGGCATTTTCGATTTCCAGGAACCTCAATTTCTGACTAAACAATCCCCAGTTTTGTAACATTTCCCTCCCTTGCAACAACTTCTATCGTAGTTTGAAAAAGCCACATGTCGGATCGACATCTCCTGATTTTTCCGATCCGAACCCTGCTTTAGGACATTAATTTAATTGGAGATTTAAGGATATTGGATGAACAAGAAAATTAAGCGGTATATCAGCGGTTTTAAAGTGATATCAAAGAGATTTAAAGGGATGTTATGTGATTTGGAGGGAAAATTTTTAAATCTTTACAATATTTTTCAGTTTAATTTAAGAATTTTTAAAGTTTTACTTCAAAAAATCAGGTACCATTAATACTGCGGTAGTACCGAACTGTCCAAACCATTTTTCGTTTCAATAAAACTGTTATTTTCAAAAACGCGGAAATAAAAAATTTGAATTTAGAAGAAAAAATACACAGAACCACAGAAAAATAATTGAAATACAAATTCTGTGGATCAGTGGAAAAAATCCACAGATTTTTATATTTTCCACAGAAATTTTCATCCACAGAATCTGCGGAATGTTTCCACAGAATCATTGGATGTTTCCGCAGAATCTGCGGGCACCACAGATTCTGTGCACACAGAATTTAATTGAAACAGAATTTCCACAGAATCTGTGTTCTGTGCACAGAATGCAGAATCTGTGGACAATTGAAATAGGCCCCATATCTTCTTTCTTTAATTTATTCAATCCAAACGATTAGTTTCACCTGCGTTTATGAGTATGGGTACGGTAGAGTCTCAGAACTTTGTTTTATCCTTCTCCTGGGTAAGGAGCAAAATAAAAAAATTTTTAAAATTGAAAGTGCAGATTCTCTCTGGACCGTGTTTTGTCTGGAACGTATTTTGGTCTTACCATGTTTTAGCCTGGCACGCCTTCTCTCCCCTAACCTTCTAATTTTTTCTAAACTTTCAATTTTAAGTATTCACTTTTGCGGCTCTTTCATTTAGGGGTTTCAGGCCGAACCGAAACCCATAAGATTTCTGTTTGATTAACTAATGAGTTTGACGAAACCGACAACACTGGGTTGGGGTCACTTGAGTGTGGCCAACATTGATCGTCAACCAACTTTGATCGGCTATAGCTTTTTCTTGATTCATCCAATACCATGAATTTTATATCATTCGAAAGCTCTCAATAAGCGCTCTCTTTTTTCCAATTGGATGCATTATGTCTGATCACTCGTTAAAAAGTTACAAGTCGAAAAGTACAAGAAATCTTTGTTTTTCCATGACAAATTTAGCGAAATAACACCTTCATTTTCTTCCTATTAATTTTTCACTTTCTAAACAATATAAAAATGCTATTTAATTTTGTTTATTTCCTTCAATAAAATCATTTTTAATTTCCCGTTTTTTAGATTTTAAAATTATATATAATTTTCAATATGGCTACAAGATATCGCTATAGTGAATATATCGCATTAAGAGAATATTATAATAATAACGACAACAACAGCAACTAAATAAAAGCCAAAATCAGTAATTATATACAGCTGTAGTTCAGGTAAAAAAAAATTTTTTTTCTGTTTTTAATGAAATAAAAAAAAATAGAAAATAAGGTCAACTTTTGATTTCAATAGTTTATATTAAGGTAGGATGATTAGGGGTAGGACAAGGGTCAAAAACGAGACTTTTTGACCTTTGTGGAGGAGAGAGAAGGGAAAAGGCAGTCACAGGGAAAAATAAACGAGGAATTAAACGGTCTCGTCTTGCTCTAGTTTATATATGTAGCAGGGATCTAGCCGACATAAAAATTCAATTCCCGATTTTTGGGAATCGGGACGGCTAGATCCCTGATATGTAGCAGGCAACCTTCCTCCTAATCAGTCTGGGAATTTAAATAAAAAGTTGCTTGTCAGGCCTTAATTTGGTACTCTTTACTTATAAGGAGTTTCTAATGAATGGACTGATATGGACGTGTGAGGCAGTCATTCAACTTGTGTCAGCTCGAAGAGCTGAGTCCTCAGAGAGACACCTCAACTCCATATCAGTCCACTCATTAAAACCTCCTTCCTATAAGCGAACATTTTCCTTAAATTTTTCTCGTTCTCGTAAATGCTCGTATTTTTTGCTTGTACTCGTACTCCGGTCAATACTTCCAAAATTTTGGTTCGAGCACCCAAGGAGCTTCCAAACAGTGGTTTTGCTTTCCGGAAATAGATAATTTTTTATCGATTGGAACATCCACTGTTTGCTCAGTGGTTTAGTTGGATGCGTTTAGGTTTTGACTGTTATTTAGTTGAGGGTTCGAACCTGTTGGCTTGAAACCAGTGTTTATTTTATCGATATTTTGTTTTAAACCCTAAAAACAATTCCCTTTCGATAAAAAATATTTTTCTGCTGAATTACTTTAATTTTTTTAGTTTTCAAATCAAACAAACTCTCTTCCTTCAAAAACTCTCTTCCTTCATTTTATTATTATATTTATACAATTGGAGTGCTCTTTTCTTGACGCATAAATAACCAGCAAAATGAGTGAATTGGATCAATTACGACAGGAGGCGGAACAGTTAAAAAGCCAAATTAGAGTAGGTTTTCTTTTCTAAAAATTTTGGGGAGGCTAGGGGGTTGGCACGGTCCTTATGAATGCTACCGACTGACTTCTTATTTCAATAGTGGATTATCCTGAAATATTTTTAAACTTTCTTGTCTTCCGTTTCATTTTTTGCACTTTTTTCTATGTCAAGTAAATCAATCAAAAGCCTGGGTAAAATTTAGTCCAAGTCGCTTATCCAAGTTTAAATTGAAATTGGATGTGGGAATTATTTTTTGGCTATTAGAGAGCGGGATTTTTGAAAAGCCTGAGCCTATTCCTGGGTTCCAGGTTTTATTTATTATTGGCCTGGGCCGAATCCCGGGTTTGTAGTCCAGGAAAAACCCAGGCCCAGGAAAAACCTAGGAAGATCAAAAAACGCCTGGGCCTTGACTCTGGTAAAGAAAAACCCCCTAGCCTTGGTCCAGGCACATCTCGATCTCTATTGGATATATACTTTGCTTATATATTTTCATATAATCTAGTTTAAAAATTAATTTTATAGGAAGCTCGAAAACAAGCTAATGACACAACACTTGCCTCCGTGGCAGCTAATTTGGAACCAATCGGTCGGATTCAAATGAGAACCAGACGGACATTGCGTGGACATTTGGCTAAAATTTATGCAATGCATTGGGCTTCTGATTCTCGGAATTTGGTTTCTGCCTCTCAAGATGGAAAACTTATTGTTTGGGACTCTTACACTACAAATAAGGTTTTTTAAATTTAATTTTTGAAATAGAAATTGGGTTTTGGTTTTTAATGGTTGAGGGTTTGGGCCTCCTGTGAGACGATTTTTATTTTTTCCCTGTGGCTAGTACCACATTCACCACATTATATGAGGCAAATTTTAAATTTATTTGGAATAGTAACCTGAGGGTAGTTTCCAACTTTGTAATTAGGTATGATAACTAGCATGAACCCCGAAACCCCTGATTTTATCAAAGCTCTACTTTTCGGGCTACTGCGACATGAAAATCCGGTTCTGCACTTGAACGGGGTTCTCTCTACTGGTAGCACATTTACCACATTATCTTATTAGTTGGTTTATAAAATTAAACAGGGTGTCTTGTTGGTTCAATCGTTTAAAGACTAGGTTTTGTTGGAACTTAACGCAGGTTCGAATCCTGCGTTGGTCTATTTATCCTTTTAATTTACTAATACTTGCCCGATGATGACAAATTTTATGTGAAGACGGCTCATAGGCGAAATTTAAAATTTATTTTGAATAATAGCCTTGCCAGTGACGTCTAAAAGATTATGAGATTTGAGGGCAATTTTTTGATATTTTTTTAAATTTAATTTTTAGTCAAAAATTCATTTTTCTCTTCTTTTTCAAGGTGCATGCCATTCCTCTCCGTTCCAGTTGGGTAATGACTTGTGCTTATGCACCTAGTGGATCATTTGTCGCTTGTGGTGGTTTAGACAATATTTGTAGTATTTATTCGTTAAAAACTCGTGAGGGAAATGTTCGTGTCAGTCGTGAATTGCCTGGCCATACAGGATATCTCTCTTGTTGCCGTTTTCTAGATGATAATCAAATTGTTACTTCTTCTGGTGATATGACTTGGTTTTTTATTTTTGAATTTTTTCCCTAAATTTTTTGTTTAAAGTGCTCTCTGGGATATTGAAACAGGCCAACAATTAACGACATTTACTGGCCATACAGGGGATGTAATGTCACTTTCTCTTTCTCCAGATATGCGTACATTTATTTCTGGGGCTTGTGATGCTTCTGCTAAACTTTGGGATATTCGTGAAGGAATGTGTAAACAAACTTTTCCTGGACACGAATCTGACATTAATGCTGTTTCGGTTTGTTTTCTGGAAATTTAATTTTGGGTTTTGGATGGTTTTGGTAAACAAGGGAGGGATGGTTTTTGGCTTTTTAGCTTGGCAGGGCCAATCTTTTTTAGGTAAGAGTTATCAAAAGTTTAGTTGTTGGGAATTGGACCTACAAGCTAGCCTTCTATCTTATAGAATCTAGTGCCTTTTCCCAATTTTTATAGGAGCTTTTACTACTCTTATACACTGACAAGGGGGCATTCCGAAATGTCCCCCTTCTCGCAATTTTTTAAACTAGCATACTTACCTTTACCCTTTTTCTACAAGAATAGGACCCAAAATAGACAAGAACCAAAACGTTCACATAAAATCCCATTTTTGAGCACTGACTGAGATAACTTTTTTGTTTATTTTAGTTCTTTCCTAATGGACATGCTTTCGCTACTGGCTCAGATGATGCTACTTGTCGACTTTTTGACATTCGAGCAGACCAAGAGTTGGCCATGTACTCGCATGACAATATAATTTGCGGTTTGTTTTTCTTAAGGGGGAATTCTTCAAAAAATTTAATTTTTAAAGGAATTACCAGCGTTGCCTTCTCCAAATCTGGACGTCTACTCTTTGCTGGTTATGACGATTTTAATTGTAATGTTTGGGATTCTATGCGTCAAGAACGAGCTGGTAAAGATTTATTTTTTCTAAATTTAAAATATTTTTTTCAATTTTTTAGGTGTTTTGGCAGGGCACGACAATCGTGTTTCTTGTTTGGGCGTTACTGATGATGGAATGGCTGTTTGTACTGGTTCCTGGGACAGTTTCTTAAAAATTTGGAATTGAGTTAAAAATAAATTAAAAGGAGGTTTGATTTGAATAAAAATTTGTTTTCTCTTTTTTTTTGACAGCAAATCTCTCTCTTAAAATCTTTTTAATCTCTCTTTTCTCTTTCATTCAAATAATTTTAACAAAAGATTTAAAGTTGCAAGTTTATACACTTAAGTTTATGAAAGTTATGCTTTTTTAGGTTTTCAAAATAAGTCAAGTTGGTAAACTTTAGAAAAATTCAAGTTTGTAAACTTAAGTTTTTAAGTCCATAAACTTGGAAGTTAAGTTTATGAAAAATAAACTTATTTTTGCAACTTGAATTATGTCTGTCGTTGACTAGAAAATAAACTTAAGTTCATAAACAAATCAAGTTTATAAACTTGTAGGCTTAAGTTTATAAGTTAAGTAATTAAGTTTATTTCTGAGACAAATAAATAAGCGGCTTTATTTAAACTTAAGTTTGTAAAAACAAGTTTGTAATATCAAAAGGGAAACTCAAAAACTTGAATGTATACCATAGAAACTTCAAGTTTGTAAACTTAAGTTGTAGCACTATCTTAAAAATAATATATAGCTTAATAAATGTAACAAAACTTTTATTAAAGAGAAGAGAGAGAATTATATGGGGAGAGATGTGTAAAACTCCCAGATTTGTTTTTTAATTATTATTTTTTTCTGCTGTCAATTTATGTGTGTATGTGTCCCCCCTCTGCCTCCAATCCAACCACCCGACTTTTACTCTTTACCCATTATTTAATCTTTCAAAATTTTGCTTTTCTGTTGTCATTTAAATTGGTTTTTTAACGTTACGCTTAAAATGTATTTTTAAAAAATAATTTTGTCGAGGATTGGACAATTAAGTAGAGTTTGGGGGAATTTTGTTTCGATTAAAGATTTTAAAAAAATTCTAAAAATTATAGCTTGTTAATAGTATCTAGACTTTTATATGAACGTTTACCTTAATTGTCCAATTTTTAATTTTTTTAAAGGAGATTGATACCTTTGGGATTTAAGTTTGGGTTTAAAATAGGGAGGGTTAGGGGCCCGATATGAAAGATCGAGTCGAGTTTTGAATTTTGGCCCGAAAAAGACTCGGTCGGGCTGGCTCGAAAAAAAATGACTCGAACATCGGCCCGACTCGAAAACCCCAACCTTAATAGGGAGAGAGTTGAATATTTATTTTTGCTGGGACAAAGACTAATATTTAAATTTATAAATTTTATAGGTTCCCTTCCTTTATTTAAGGCTATCTTTCCGGGAAACTTTTCGTAGTTTTGAATCTTAGTCCCTAAAGGTATTATTAATGTCTCCTTAGTTTCATTTGACTTTTTTTCTGCTAATATTTACTCTTATAAAAAATGTCTTTTTTTCGACTCTTTTTACTATCAATTAAATAGATGAGTAATTTATCTCATTTTTTCTAAAAATCAAAAGGAAAAATTTTAAAAAAATGTTTAAGAGCTCCATTCATGTTTCCGCCCTTTTACATTTATTGAACGAAACTTTTTTTTAACTGTTTTTTTTAAATAATTTTTTGTCTTCTAAAAATAAACAATGCTTTTTCAATGTTTTATTTTTTAAATGTTTTTACAATAAAATCTTGGGCAAGATATGTGCTAGACAATTTTTTAATAAAATGAAAGAGGGGAGTAATCTTTAAAAATATTAAATATTTCCGGAATCAGTTTTTTACAATTTCCGGAAGGTTATTCATTTTTAAGTTTGAACTTGTAAACTTAAGTTTTAAAGTTTGACGCTTTCAAAACTTAAGTCTGTAAACTTAAGTTTTAAAATTTATGAACTTAAGTTTGCAACTTGTTTAAAGATTATGAGTCTGTAAACTTAAGAAACTTGTTTTAAGTTTATAAGTCTGTAAACTTAAGTTTATAAGTTTGTTTTTAAAGTTTACGAACTTAAGTTTTATAACTTGACTTTTAAGACTTGTTTAAGACAAATTTAAAACTTAAGTTTGCTTTCTTATTTTAAACTTAAAGTTAACATATTAATTTTCATAATTCCGGAAAGCTTTAAAATTTCTGATAACAAATTCGAAAATTAATAAAATTGGTTGAAATCAGAAAAGGTCAGTTTAAAAAAATAACAAAAGGAAAGACGGCAGAAATTTAAAAACAAAATTAATTTTAATAGGTATTTCCATTTCTATTGCATTTTTTGAAAGAATTTCCATTTCTTAAATTAAAAAGGTCGATAGTAAGCAGGTGGTGGAGGTACAATTCTATGTTCTCCATTTAACGTATAATAAGTTGGATCGTTCGGATAAGAAAGGTATGGAGAAGCAGAAGGTGCGTGTACTGGTGTTTGTCCTCCGTGACTTGCAGACCTTGGCATTGGAGTTGGTGGGGGTATTTGCCAATAATTTTCTTGATAGTGGGTTGGGGTATCTTTTGATGCTACCTTGAAAAGAATTGAGCTTAAGAGAGAAAATTTAGTCTAGGATAGACATCGATCCAGCGACCAAGAGAGGTATGGAGGCCTACGCCACGCGTGAGCGAGGTCTTTGTTAGGCGCTCACCACATACAGGTTGCTATAACCTTATGTTTGAATAGGTCTTAAGCTCCCAGCCTAGTGAGCGTTATAAATGCTATTCAGTTGGATCTCCCTTCTTCCATACAATACTCCGATAAACAAATTTAAATTTCCACAAAAATTTTTTTAAACCTCTCACCTTCTTAAACCATTCACGATAACTAGCCTCTCCAATACCCCGAGGTGTTTCCACCATTTTATTTTGCGTTTTAACGCCATTAGGCACATTATTACAGCTTTCACCCCCACTATTATTTGTCTTGGCAGTTGTACTGTTTTCACTTGCTCTGTCTTCTTTTTCCCCAGGGAAAGGTGTATAATGGCTTTGATTATAATTATTAGCTGATCCATTAAAGAAAAGATTATTTCCTCGTAAATTGTTTTGATTATGACGATGCATGGAGGAATGGTGTTTTGTGGGCTATAAAAAATTTTTTCAGTCTTAAAAATTCTGAAAAAATTTCTGAAAAATTTTCACAAATCTAACATAAGTCTGATGTTGCCGTGATTGCTTTCTGTTACGAAAAGCACAAAATAGAAGAGCTGTGGCAATAGAAAGTAACATAAAAGTCCCCAAAACAGCCAAAAGCCATCCTTGCCATTGTCCCCCCATCGAAGCTACTTTTTCCTTTTCTTCCCCAATTTCGTTTGTGTCATTCATCTCTCCTCCTTCCTCTTCATTTTCTTGTACTTCCAACATTTCTGAATCTAAAACTAATTCGGCAGGCATTTTTTGAGCAGCAGCTTCTTTCAGGAAATGTTTTAATTGTTTGGTAGTTGGTAATTCTTCATTATTTTTTAATGTTGTGTTAAAAGTCATTTGAAGTAATGCAAGAACACTTCCCTCCCTATTAGGTAGGTTTAATAATATTATAACAATTTAAAAACTTAAGTTTATAAAGTACTTAAGTTATAATTAAACTTGAGTACTTAAGTTTGTAAACTTAAACTTAAGAGTTTGTAAAAACAAAAACTTGAGTTTATGAACCTAAGCTTGTAAACTTGATCCCTTAGTTTTCGAAAAGTTAAGTTTATAAACTTGAAAACTTAAGTCTATGAACAAGTTAGTAAACTTGTCACTTAAGTTTTTGAGAATTAAGTTTATATTTTCTTAAGTTTGTGAACTTAAAACTTACGCGAATTTCTGTACGTTAATCATTTGAAGTGAGGGCCATCTAATAGAGATGAATGATTGTAACTTAAGGAAAAATTTAACATTTTTTATAAATGTTTGTAAATCCCCAACCGAATTGCTCAACTTTTGAGACATTAAAGAAAATTCTTCAGATTCAGGCTCTCCCAATTTTTCATCCCATTTTTCATTGGGAAGTTTAATTGCAACATTAAATACTTTCTTTTTGTATTTTTCGTCTACAACATTTTGTTGTTGTTTTACAATCTCAGGTGTTTCTTCAACCAAGTTTTTATTCATTTGTTCGTCTTCAGGTTTCTCTTGTTGTTGTGACAATGTTGAAGTTGTTGTTGTTGTTTTCTCTGTTGTTTGTTTCTCTGTTGTTTCTGTTATAGCAAATGTTTGTTGTATTTCTGTTGTTTGTGTTGTTTTCTCTGTTTCTTTTGTTGTTGATAATGTTGTTTGCAGAGATGTAGATTGTGTTTCTTGTTGTTTTTCTGTTGTTGACACTTCAGTTGTAACGTCAATAGAAACATCATTTGTTGCCGTTGTAGAAGACAATTTCTGTCCGCATTTACCCAAACAAATCTGAAAAAAGTGTTTTTTGGATTTTGAGGAGTGTTAAGGATTTTTATGTTTGTTAGGCGAGGCAATTGCTGCTTCAGGATTACAAGCAAGTTATTGCCTCAATTGCCTCACCACCAGTGATTGGAAATTTCGAATTTCTCGAACTCGTAATTGCAATTATCGCATTAGAATTGGTCTAAAAATTAGAGCACAAATATTGGTATGAGCTTTCTAAAAAATGTTTCTTCTATTCCCTCGGACGTGCTCCCTGTTTAAGTGATGATTTCACCAACTGCCGCCAGGCATCGAACCTAAGTCCCCGTTTAAGTGCCTAAGTCTCCCGTTAGGTTTTTAGCTTTTAATAATAAAAATTCTATGCTTTACCATGTTTTCAGAAATTATAGGTGTTTTAATATGTTTTTTCATTTCATCACTTTCAGAAGTCAACGGATTAGCTGTATGTAAGAAAATAAAATGTTGGCATTGTCTTAAATCAGCATCTTGTAAATCATCTTGGGTATATAAAGAACGAGAGAAATTTAAAGCCCAGAGACCATCAACTGATTGGCTACTTATTTCTTCTATATTTTGCTTTGTATCAATTAAAGGTTTATCATAGCTAGGCGAAAAACGGTCCTGTAGTGTTATTCTTCCATCTTTCCCCAAGATTGCAATTATCGCATCAGAATTGGTCTAAAAAATTTTTTTAAATTAAATTTAAAACTAAAAAATATTAAATAATTTTTAATTTAAGTATAGTTTATTATATCAGAGAAAATCTTGACTCCTTTAGTTATGCTCTCAATTAGATATAAAATATTCAAGGTAGTGGAATGAAATTTAAAAATCGAGGATTTGCTTGTAAAGGCACTTGAATTTAAAAACTTAAGTCTATAAATTAATAATTTAAGTTTGCAAGATTAGATTTATGAGTATGAGTTTACCAACTTGAATCTTAAGCTTATAAAGTTTACCAACTTAAGTCTTAAGCTTATAAACTTGAAAACTTAAGTTTATATAAACTTGAGAATTTTTCAAGCTTAAAGTTTGTAAAATCAAGTTCATGAACTAAGTTAATAAAGCAAAATTTTAATTAAAAATATAAACCCACCATAGTCCCATCATTAGAAAACCCAACACCAGTCCAATGATTAGAAGGCATTCTGACATTTAATTGGAAATTAACTTTTCCCAATTCGGGTGTAACTATCCATTGTACCATATATTGACATTGTTTTATATTTCCATTAGCTGTTAATTGCATACAATCTTCTGGATATGCAAAACCGCCAAAGCAGTTTTCATCGGTTAAAATGGAGGTTTTGGGTAGTTCGGAAGGCGACGAGGAGGCAGACTTGAAAAAAAAATAAATTTAATTAATATGTGTTTTAAGGGAAGAAAAGCCTTAAGTGATTGAGGTTTATGTGTCCGTTTATTATTATTTACTTGAAGCCAATAAAACTTCTAGTCATGAAATTTTGCTAAAATATTCTCAACGGTGTTATCTAACATCTCTAAAAATTTTAGAATTTTTGATCTAGTATTTCTCAAGTTATGGACAAAAATGCAACAGAAATAGACGTTTTTTAAGGAAATTTGAACTTTTTTGACTATAACTTGTAAAATCTGTATCCAAATATTCTGAAATTTATAGGGGTGATAGTTAACACTATTAAGGATGTCTATACAAAATTTCAGAATTTTAGAAAAAAATTTGGCTGTTTTATAAAAGATTGCGCAGACTATACTTTAGCCAAAACACTCTCTTCTTTCGAAGGGTTTTTATTAAAAAATAATTTTTTTCTGCCCTCAAAAAATATTTTTTATATATAAATTAATTAAAAGTCTTCACCTCTTCTTCATCTTCTTCTTTATTAGTTTGTTCTTCTTCTTCTTTCTCTATTACTTCCTTCTCAACTTCCTTTTCAACTTCCTTCTCGACTTCCTTCTCCCCTTCAACATTTTCTTCAGAATTTTCCATTTCAGAACTCGCCTCTTTTACTTTTGTTTGTTTTGGAGAAACAGAAGAAACTGTTTTTATTGCTTCTGTAATATTTTCTGGTATGTTTATTGTAGTTGTTGTTGGGGAAATAGTGGGTGGATGTTTTGTTGTTGTATTTTGAATAATTTCTGAAATTTTTTGAAAATAAATAAATCAGAATTATTAAAATCAGAATTTAATAAGATCAGAATTTATAAAATCAGAATCTTTAAAATCAGAATCTTTAAAATCAGAAATTTAGGTCAGAATTTAAAATCAGAATTTAATAAAATCAGAATTTAATAAAATCAGAATTTAATAAATCAGAATTATTAAAATCAGAATTTTAGTCAGAATCTAAAATCAGACTTTAATAAGTCAGAATTTTAAGTCAGAATTTAAAATCAGAATTTATTAAAATCAGAATTTCTAAAATCAGAATTTTTAAAATCTGAATTTAATAAATTCAGAATTTTTAAAATCAGAATTTAATTGAATCAGAATCTTAGGTCAGAATTTAAAATCAGAATTTAATAAGATCAGAATTTATTAAAATCAGAATTTTAAGTAAGAATTTAAAATCAGAATTATTAAAAACAGAATTTAATAAATAAAAAATCAGAATTTATTCACCTTTACCAGCACCAGCCATCAAATCAATCAAAGCAAATTCCAATTTTTCTGCTTGTGAAATTTCTGGTTTTATTCCATGCCCAGAAAAAAGAAAAACTTGGGTCTGACCTTGTTGGATGGTCAAATCGCCGTTTGAATTGGTTGGGTCTAAAAATAATTTTAAAAAAATAATAAATAATAATTTAAATCAGTTAATAAATCAGAATAAAAATCAGAAAAAGAAAACAGAAAAGCATCAGAAAAAGACCAGAATATGGTCAGAAAAAGACCAGAAAAAGACCAGAAAAGGTCAGAAAACACAGAGAAAACCCCAAAATAAAATCAGAAATTAATTATAAATTATCAGGGAAAGTCAGAAAAATATTAGAATTAAATCAGAATATAATTAAAAACACCTTTTAACAGTTTTGCTAACCAAAAAGTATTTTTGCCAGAATTATTAATTAATTCAACTCCATTAAAAGATTGTTGCCCTCCCCAATGTTCATCTCTTCTTAGAGAATCATTGGAAAGACCAAAGGCATCAATTGCTCTTATAAATAATTTATTTTGATTTTCGGCTATCTGAAAAACGAGAGGAAATATTCAAAAAAAATTTTTCAGAATTTTTACCTGTATTATAGCAACATCAGCACATTGAAAGGGTAATCCAGATTGTTTCTCTTCTTCATCCTCATTCTCTACATTTCTCACTCTTCTCCTTCCAATTTGTTCCTTTTCTGAATTTTTAAAGTTTGTGGGCCTATCACAAAGGCAGATTTGGGTGGGTGAAGAAATTGGCTGTTGTTGGTCGTGGAAACCGATTGGGGTACGTGCCTTTGAATTTTTATTGGAGTTAAATAATTTTTTAAAATAATTTTAAAATTAAAAATTTTTTTCGTGTATTAACAAGTGATAAGCTATGGGTTAGTCGCCTGGGAGACGTGAGTTAGTCGGAGCCTCAAAAAATATCTCAATGAAAACTTTCAAGCATAAAATTTTGCATAGAGACTAATAAAAGTGTTATCCACCTTCCTCAAGATTTTCAGAACTTTTAGTTAACTATTCCAGAACTTCTGGTCGAAAATATCAGAATTTTCGTGGAAAATGCCGATTTTCTGAAGTCTTTTGACCAGAACTTCTGAAATAATGAACCAAAAATTATGAAATTTTGGGACTAGTTAGTTAATACTATTAGGGCTAGGTGTACAAATTTTCAAGTTTTTAGGTACAAATTAGACAATTTTATAACACCGAAACCTTCCTTAATACATAATTCCTTTCCGTATTTATTTTTCTATTAATTTTCCTTGAAAATTTAATTAAAAATTTAAAATCACCTGTTGGAAATCGCGACTAGAATGTGCCATCACCCTTCCACCTTGTACAGGGAAGAGAAAATGAGCACATTGTGCCAAACTTAAATCTGTGCTTTTGTCTGGACTGACAACTTTGCGACGGAAGGATATTGTCTTTAAATAAAAATTTTTTATCTCTCGTTAATTTTTCAATTTTTAATTCCAATCGGATATTTCTATTGGTAATTAACACTAATACATTCATCGAAAAGAGAACAGACTTTATAAAGTCGTCTGTTAATGGACCAAAATAACTTCCTTTCTTCACCTGTATATCATCAATTAAAGCCCCTCCAATATCAAAAATATCTTGTCTATCAACAGGGTCAATAGCTGGCTGTTGTTGGGCAAAAGCAAAACGATCGGTTAAATAAGGCTTTAAAAATTAATTTTTTAAATTAAAATTAATTATTTTCTAAACTTTTTGGTCATAAAACCATCCAGTAATAATATCAGAACCAGCCATTTTTCCATCTTTTGAAAATCCAATTCCCGTCCAGCGACCAATACCACGAGAAGAAATGTTAAACTTTAATTTGAAATTAATTTTTAATTAAATTTTAAATTAATTTAAATTTAATTTTTTTAATTTTATGGAAATTTTGAAGAAATAAAATATTTAATATTAAGTAAAATTAAATTTAAAATTTTTAAAAATTTTTCTAAATTTTAAATTAAATTTCAGAATGTTTGTTAATTCTGAATTAAAATTTAAATTTAAAAAGTGAGAATTAAAAATTTTCTCTTAAAACAAAAAATCTAAAAGAAATCTAAAGCATTTTCTTTTGCTTGACAATGCTTACGCTTATAATACAGCCCAATTAATAGATATAACCATGAAATTTTGCCCAGATATATTTAATAATATTATCCAGCAATTCTGAAAAATTCAGAATTTTTTGTTTAAAATTTCAGAAGTTCTGGTCAAAAAACTACGAAAATCGAAATTTTTCGCCAGAATATGTAAGTTCTTTGGCCATAACTTCTGTAATACGAAACGAAAAATTCTGAAATTTTTAGAGTTGCTAGGTAAAACTATTAAGATTATCTTGGCAAAATTTAGGCCCGTTTGCACTTTTCTAATTAAAAAAATAAAATTTGTTTACAAGGACAGTGTCATCCTCTTTTTCCCATTCCCAACTTGCACGATATTCACATTTATCCAATTTGCAATTTGCTGGCCATTTAAATTCTTTAAGGCAACTATGAGGTGTTGGAAGATTTGAAGAGGATGATTCTTTAATATTTTTATCTAAAAAATTTTTAAAAAGTAAATTATTTTAGGGAGTAGTATTTCTAGTTGGGATTAACGTTAATGCAGCGCCTATAAATTAGCCAGATGATCTCTTAAAATTCTAAAATTTTGCATAGATATTCCTAAAGGTGTCTTCTCCCATCTCTAAAAATTTCAGAATTTTCGGTTTCATATATCAAAAGTTATGGCCGAAATACCTCCAAAAATTGGCATTTTTCACTAAAATTCTGACATTTTCGTTCAGAATTTCTGAAATATTTAATCAAAAATTCTGAAATTTTTATTAGATAAAGATAAGACATTTAAAAATATCCATACAAATTTTCACGATTTCAGGTGAACTTTAGAATATTTTATAGACCCGTACGTAACGTTCACACTTCCCTCAGCGTGCTCATCTTCCCCCAGAGACTATTGAAAATTAATTCGGTGAAAAAAAGTTTGGTGAAAAGACCCATTATTTAATTAATTAAAATGCTTTTTAATTACCCCTGCATGTTCTAATACAAATTTCAGCATCAGAAGCATACAAAGAATCAGCTACCGGAACAGAAATATTTCCGCTCTTTTCAAAACGTCCACCAGATATTGGAAATAAAAATCTAACACAATTTCCATCTTCTTCACCAAAATCTAAATCTTCCCCAGCAGAATCACCCGTCCTGCGTTTTCTAGAAAATTTTGCTTTGAATACTCCATCTGTGTAATTAAATATTCCTTCGTGTAACTGAATATCTTGTTGTGTATCCGGGCGGAATTGCTCTGGAAAATTGAAGGGAAAATTTTAATAAAATAATTATTAAAAGCTTTTCCCAAAAACTTGGGGGGGGGGGGCTTATAACTCGGTCCCCGGTACCATTTTGCTAAAATGGTTCAAATTTCACAATAGAAAGGGTATACTCTATCTGTCTACCAAATTTCATCCCGAAGTCCCACGGACACCCAAAAGCCTATCCTTTGTTAGTTGTACACCCTCGGGGCTGAAAAAATCGTACCTCATAATGTGGGGTATGTTAAATAAAAGGTATCGCTTGGGCAGCTTCCCTAGGTCAAATATAAAATTTAAAAACATCTCTTAACTTGGAGGTATATCTAATGTTTAGGGGTCATCTAAAAATGAGGGTTGTCTGCATAAGATAAAGTAAAGATCAAAGCATCTCAATTTTTACTTAATATATAAAAATTAAATTTTGTAATTATTTAACTTGTTTTGGGTTGTCAATAATTTAATATATTTTATAAAAATTTTTAAGTTAATTTTTGGGTTGGGGGGTTTGTGTACAGAACCCCCTTCAAATTTGTTAACACAATCAAGTCTACATCAGGATCAGGGCGTGAAAAATTTTTGACTTGCGGATCAGACCTAGGTGAAACTCAAAATTTTTTCTGCCGAAACGAAACGATACTCAAAAAAACCCACGAAACATACGAAACAACGAAACGAAACGTTTCGCCACGTTGTTGCGGATCGCGTTTGCGGATTTTAAAATAAAAATTGCGGTAGCGGAAAATTTTTTTCAATTGCGGACAGCGCTGAACAAGATTCTAAAAGCTGTACTGATAATACCGGCAGATTTCGATACCTTCCGACCCCTAGATAAAAGGAAAAATTAGCCACCCAATTTTTCATCCACATGCATGTCTACAACTTCCAATTTCCCAATTTCTTCTGAATTTCTTTCCAAAGTCCCAATAACGATCATATCAGCATCTAATAATGTTCCAGAAGGGGAAAATCCTATTCCAGACCATATAGGTTGTTGCTCTTCTTTTTGTATTTTTCTGTAAACTGCTGGAATTGTTTCTAATTGAAAGTGGAGGGAATCCTGAAAAATTAAGAAATTTTAAATTAAAAAAATTTTTATTCGAGTTGGTGAATTCTGGGAATGTTTCGAATATCCTAAACAGACATAACAAAAAGTTTCGTTAGTTTTTTGTTCCCTAACCCTCTTGGAGTATCCTATTTAATTTAGTTTAAGAGATTAAATTAAATCTTTTAATTCTTGAATATTTGTCCCACAAAGCTATAGTATCATTTTTGGACAATATTTAGCCACTTAACGTGTTTAAGCTAGAATAATCGAGAAAACATATCGTTTTTTGAAAATTAAAAATGTTACACTGTCTCGCTTCGTCTGAAAAGAGTTTGGAGCTTCGTGTATGTAAGGGTATTGAGAATTTTATTTAATTCTTGGTCAATCCTAAGCGGGACAACTTTGTTAAAACTTATATGGGAGAGGGGGAGAATATATTTCAGAACTGAGGAGTTTCCCCTTATTTCCTTCAGAAATTTCTACTAAAAATTAAAAACCCACACTATTTTGGTCTAAAAACCATTCTATACTATAATGGCATTTTTTATCTCCAACTCCACATCCTTTAGGCCATTTCCATTCCCCTTTGCAAATATCCATTGAAGGCTCTATCGTGGTTATTTTTTCTGTAGTTGAAACTTGTCCGCTGTGTTTGTGGGGGGAAGATTCTTTTAATTCTTGAATATTTGTAGATTTTTTATTATTTTTTATTTCGGGTTGAATTGTTGTTGTTGAGAGTGAATTTACTTTAAAAAAATTATTTTTTGATAAAATTTAGAAAAATTTTGAGAGAAAAAAATTTTTAGGGGAAAAAGGCAAGTTAATCAAAGTCCTGAACCACGCGAATTTTTTTATTTATATTTCTTTAAGACTAAAAACTTTTTTGAAGTTTTTGGTATCATTCGATAGAGAATTAAATAAGCTATAAAATATCCAAAAATCAGAATTTTAAATTAAAAAGCAAAAAAGTTGTGTTCGAAGAACTAAGAAAAATAGGGTATTTTGACGGGCTCCAATCAGTTCTTTGACCAGAACTTTTTTCAAGAAATAATCAGAAATTTTAGTTTTAAGTCATTTTTGTAGCAAATTTAATTCTCCATCCAAAAATATTAAAATCTCTGAGAAACGTCCAGCCATTATCGAGTTACGAAGCAAAATTCGATTAGAGATCATCAATCACCAGTTAAGGCAAAAATTTAATTTTTAATTTTTTCTCCCAGATTATTTTCTTAAAAAATTTTTTTCCTTCAATTTACCAGCAGGACAGTCGCCCCAATAAATACACTTTCCACCAGATCGAGCATATCCTTGTCTACAGGCACAGGAAGGTTTTCCACAATTATGGCATTCTTCACGCTCAAAAATTGATAAACAATCTGCTTCACATACAGCTCCACATTCGTTTATACTTTAATTTAAAAAAATTATTTTTTTATCAAAAATAGAGCTCAACATCCTTTCTTAAAAATTTTTTCAAAATAGGGAAGGTTACGGTATTTTCTCTCCTTTTCTCTGACAGTCAGAGAAAATCTCTCTTCTTTCCATTGTCTCTCGCTTTGAAATCGGTGTGCTATTTTTTCTTACTCTATCATTCAAATCCCTCCAATACCCGACATATCCCAATCAGAATCTCTAATATGTCCCACATCTCCAGGATATCTCGAATTTGTCTCCGGTTATAATTTTAAATTCCTACGTTTCATTAGCTCCGCATTGAAGTCTCCCAATTTGAGGGGTTTTAACAGTTGCTGAAACCGAGGCATTTTTTGGTTCATTTCGTTCTTTTAAATCTGAATAAAAGTAGAAAAATATTTTTAAAAAATCATTTTCTAATGGACGCTCCCTCCCTTCTAATGGACAGTCCTAAGGGCGTTTATTAGAAAGAGGGGTCTCTTATAGTAGAACCCCATAAATTCAGCTAATAATACCACCTCTCCAATAGTAGCCTAGGCTAAAAATCAAATACCCCCATACACTCTCTAATAAACGCCAACCAAAATTTCCAATTAATTCCCTCTCTAATAAACGCCCACTTAAAAAAGTCACAAAAACCAACTTGGGCATTCTGTCCATTCAATACAAGGACCTCCAACCGATAGTCTAACAAAATTATCAGTACAAGTACACCCCGGCATTTCACAAACAGAACTACAAGGTTCTTCACTATACATACTCTGACAGGTAGGTTCACAAGCATTCCCACATTTTTCCCAAACTTCATTTTTTGGGCATTTCTGTTGTTTTACTTGCTCTTTATTTTTAATTTCTTCTTGAATTAATTCTGGTGTTGCCTTTTTAAATAAAATTAAATTTATTAGGAGATACGGAAGTTTGGCATCGATTCCGAGGCGATTTTTTAATTCCCAAATCCGGGTTTTTTCACTAGGTATACTCTGAGGTCAACCGTTCCTTTTACAGAAAATGATCTATCTGCTTTTGAATTTACAAGGAACCTCCCCTGAACAAGCAGAAAATACAGGAAAAACGAGAAGATCCCAAAGTCCCAAATCTGTATAAAAAATTTATCGGATTTGGTCAATGTTTGCAACTAGATTCGGACCGGATCCGGACAGATTTTTCTGGATTAATCCGATTTTGGGACCCGGACTCCGGAAAATTAGGGAGATACCCCCTGGCGCCTAAATGTCCCTTAACCTCAATTTATTATTTTAAAATTTTTTCAAAAATTTTCTTCCTCACTTCCGGTGCCTGACAGAAACTAAAAGGTTTGCATTCGTTCAAATTCTTTCCCAACCGAACAAAGCCTTCAACACAAACACATCTTGGTTTCCCACATTTTTGTTCAGAAGTGCGTGATGGACAAACAGGTATAGATTCGGGGAAAGCTGTCCATTCACAGCTTGGTTCACACTCCCTTTCTGAGTCTGGACATTGTTCCCATCTTTGATTTGTGTCACATTCTGTTAGAAAAAATTTTTTAAATACAAGATACACCTCTCCTTATTTTAAGACATCCCTCCCACCCCCACCTCGCGTTGAGGCCGGAGAAAATCATAATTATGATCGTTTCTGCGCGGCTTATAAAATTAACTAAAGGGTACCTAAAATCGTGAAATTTTCTGAAGAAAACTCTAATAGTGTTATCTGACATTTCTGAAAATTTCAGAATTTTTGGTTTTATATTTCAGAAGTTCTGGTTGAAAATTTCAGAATTTTCGTGAAAATTGTCAATTTTTAAAAGTTTTTTGGCCACAACTTTTGAAATACTTAACCAAAAATTCTGAAATCCTGAGAGATGTTAAATAATAGTGTTGAACAGCCTCACTAAAAATTTCAGAATTTTTCGTTTTGTATTTCAAAAGTTCTGGTTGAAATTTTCAGAGATGTTAAATAATAGTGTTGAATAGCCTTAATAAAAATTTCAGAATTTTTGGTTCCGTATTTCAGAAGTTCTGGTTGAAAATTTCAGTATTTCCGTGAAAATGTCAATTTTTGGTTGTTTTTTGACCAAAACTTTTGAACTACTTGACCAAAAATTCTGTAATTTTCAGAAAATATAGGTAACACTATTAGAGACATCCTTACAAAATTTCACGATTTTAGGTGCTCTTTTGTTAATTTTATAAGCCCGTGCCGAAGCATCGTTTTCCTCATTGAGAGGAACTTCCTCTCATTCTTCCCCATCAAAATTCCCCTACATTCCCTCTTATTTTTTTTTATTTTTAAAATTAATTAAGCACCTTCTATAGCTATTCCAGACAATATTTTTTCTGTTTCTGATTTATTTGTATTTTCCTCAATTAATTTTCTAATATTTAATGAAGTCGAAGATTTATTTATTGGAGGAATTTGATTTAAATTATTCGAGCCTGTTAAGTCGACTGTTAAAGAATTCTCTCCTTTCTCTTGTTCTACCCTAACTAAGGGTCCTCCTCCTGCTTTTGCTCGGGTTTTGCTTCGTTCCATTTTTTCTGAAAAAATTTTTTTTTGGAATTCTTGGGGATTTTCAGAAAATTTTCGAAAATTTTTAAAAAATTTCGAAAATTTTCGAAAATTTTCAAAAAAAAATTTTTTTTTGAAAATTTTTTTTGAAATTTTCAAAAAAAAATTTTTTTCTCAAAAAAATCCCACTTTCTTTTTGCCATTTTTCCATAGCTACACGACAATTTTTATCAGATTCAGTTGATTGTATTCCCAAAATAAACCATCTCGCAGCTTCATTCCTCTTAATTTCCTCATCGAAAACAAGCCCCAAATTAATAATATTTTTATCAATATTAGCTAGCCATTTTAATTCTGTTCCGCTTTCAGGAAATTTGATTGATTGGAGTGAATCAGAATTTTGAATTGAAGAAGGTGTTGTTGGGGGATTTTCTGAAATTATTTTTAAAAAATTAAAAATTTTTTTTGGCGTTTTGTAATTTTCTTACAGTATTTTAAAATTAAAAATACACCTAGAGATACAACTTGAGGAAATACCTACTTCGCCGGAGGGGATACCTACTTTGAGGAGATACCTACTTTGAGGGGAATCCCGGAACTTCCGGCTTACCGGAACCGGAACAGGAACTTCCGGCGAAGCTCTAATCACTACTCACCCCCATTTAAGGTACCCCTCGTTATTGCCCTGAGGGGTATTATAAAGCATACATCCTAATCCCTAAACCAGCCGCCCATATATCAGCCGCCCTGTTAGCTAAAGGAGAAATATGTAGCTTCTTAACCTTGGTCAGGTTCTGAATGAGGTCTTAATGTATTTTGAGTCCTCCTCCTCTTCAACCTTTACTCCTTTTGATTTTTCTATATACCTATTTGGAATATCAAAGGGGTAATTACACGTTCGAAACCGTGGGACTTTTAATACAAGCTTAAATCGGAACTGCTCGATTTTTTGAAATCGAGTCAAACCTTGGAAACAACCCCTCTCTTAGAGCAAAAAAATCCCCTAAACCGAGTCAAATCCCCTTAAAAAATCCCTCAAACCCCCCTTCAAATCCACCTTACCATTTTTGCAATATTCCCCAAACCTTCCATTTAAACAAAAACAATTTCCATCCAAACAACTTCCTCCAAATAAACATTCTTTGTTTTCTTTGCATTCTTTCTCCCCCTCCTCTCCAACCTCCTCTACTCCCTTTTCTGCAGGTTTTACACTAACTTGGGCACAACTAACTAGTTGAATTCGTTCATCCAATTCTACACTTAAACGGAGTGTACAAAGATTACAACGAAGCCCTTCGGGTATTTGTGCCATCATTGAAACGATTGAACTTAAAAAGTATTTTGTTTAATATTTTTCTTTGGCAGTTAGAGAAAATCTCTTATTTTCCTGTTGTCTCTCTCATACGGTGAGGTTGTTTATCAGGGGTGTACCGAAACCGGAACGGGCCAGTTGAGCGTGGCCGGTTGAGCGTCAGCCAACTTTGATCGGCTATAACTTTTTTCCGCTTGATTCAACACTAATTAATCATATATCATTCGAAAGCCCTCGTTAAGCGCTATATTTGTTTCAATTGGATGGATCATGATTGATCGCTATTTAAAAAGTTACAAGTCGATAAGTGTGAAAAACAATGATTTTCTGCACTTATCGACTTATAACCTTTTAACCGGGATCAGACTTGATCCATCCAGTTGGGATAAAGATTGGACTCATCGAGGGCTTTCGAATGATATATGATTCATTCGTATTGGATCAAGCAGCAACAAGGTTCAAAGGTCGGCTCACGCTCAACCGGCCACGCTCAACTGACCCCAACCGTACCGAAACTGATTAAAGCTAAAATGAAAGGCTATCTCTTCCTCAGCAATCCCAAAAATCCCAATTCCCAGATATCCCTAGCTTATAGATATCCGGTTTGAATCACACTCGTCTTTATTTTATCCCAAATGAGTGGGATAGATTCCACATTTCCTTCTTAAATTAAATCCCATACTTATTCCAGTTCTTTTAATATCTACCATATCCCACTTTAATTCATCCCTAACTGTGATAAGTTAGACTTTCTAGTCTTCACTACCTGTTTTTATCAATCATTCCCCTCTTTTCGTCTTTAATTATATCTAGTCGAGTGAGTAAATGCCCTCCAGAGTCACTTGAAAATAATTCCAACTTTGCAAGTTCAACAGGTAAATGTCCAGGATCATGCCAACGAATTCGAAATTGAATGCCAGAGAAAACATTGTTTATTGGGTCTATTGAAAATAAAAGAAAATTAAATTTTTTTAAAATGGTGTATTTTAATTAGGGCCAGATTTTGGTCTAGGATTAGCAAAATATTCCTTAATTTCCATTTCCATCCGACGACGAATTTTTAGGCCATTCCCCGATCCCTGACATAATATTAGACGTCATTTTCTCAGAAAAATTTCACCCCACAGGTGAGGGACTAGCTCAAACTAGGGTTGCACGAGGTCGAGGCCTCGCCGAGGCCGAGGCGACTCATTACTATCGTTGTCAGTCTCAAACCGAAACCCGAAGATTTTCGGCTCGGTTTCGGCTAACCGAAAGTTTCTGGTGAAACCTACTCATTACTCTATCATTTCTTTTATTGCCCCAATCTCTCAAAATTCTTTAATAATTTTCCAATTTCTTTTACAAATTCCAAATAATTAATATTTCAAATATCTTTTTCGTTTTCTATAAAAACAAGAAAAATATCCCCTGTGGTGATTTTGGTCATTTCTTTTCCAATTAGGTCATCGGCAACCCAACACACACACACAAACAAAGCCAATTAACCCACTCAAAAATATATAAATTATTTTAAACAAAAATGTGTGAATTAATGGGGATATTTTTTTGTTTTAAAAAGGGAAAAACTAGATTTATGACATCACAAAAAATTTAAAAATAAAATTATTAATTAAATGCCTAAGGCGGTTTTAGAGTAAATTAAATGGAAAATAAGTCTTTTTTAATTTAAAAATTGGAAAAAATCGAGAAAAAAAATTTCAAAAAATCTCTGAAAAAATTTCAAAAAATTCTTAGGGTATAAAAGTTTTTTATAAATAAAAACCGACAATTTTTTTCATTATTATCTATTCAAAAAACGACACGAGGAATCGAACCTCATACCTTTACACACAAAATTTGAAACTTTCCCACTACACCAAACTTTTCTTAACTCAAAGTTAATTAAAAAAAGCTCTCATTTATTCATTAATTAATGAAGGTTACAGTAATTGTATGGAATAACTCAATTTAAATTAACATAACTTTGGAAAGTGAGAACCTTTAGGCCTAAAATTTTGTATAAAAATCATTTATAGTTCTAGCCAATTACTCTAAAAATTTCAAAATTTTTGGAAAAGTATATCAGAATTTCTGATCAAAAATGTCAGAATTTCTTTAAAAAATGTCCTCTTTTTGAAGTTTTTTGACCATAACTTTTTAAATACTGAACCAAAAATTCTGAAATTTTCAGGGAATATAGTTGATACCTTTAAATATATCCTTGCAAAATTTTATGAATTTAGGAGACTTTTAGGCTATTTTATGAGTCTGCGCCGAAACGTCCTACACATTATAGAGAGGGAAATAAAGCTGATTTCTTGGCTTTTTACAATTAAAAAATAATTTTTAAAAAATTTTTAATTAGTTTTTCATTTATTTTCAACCATTCCCTTCAATAAAAATTAATATTTTCACCTTTTTCGGTGCTCGGAGTAGGACATGTAGTCTCCGGCAGTCGTTGTGCTACAGGTCCATTTTCCAATAATCTAGCTATTGGCTCTACTAATTTAATACTTGGTTGGTGTTTTTGTTGTGAATAAACTAATTTTTGTGTTGAAAATACAAAAATAAATAAAAATAAAATTAATTGGGATTTTTTGTAGTTTAAGGGGATTTTGGTAGTTGTTGACCAAGAGGAGTTAACACCCATTTTTAATGGAAAGATGAAAGAATTTTGGAGAAGACTATTTAAAATTAATTTTTTTCTTGTTCCTTTTTAACTAAATTACCTTAGAAAAATTTTAAAAAATTTATGAAAATTAAAAAAAAATTTTCCTGATTTTTTAATTTATTTAAAAAATAAACGAGAGATAACGCAAAAAGAAGAGAATTTTCTCTAACTAAGGATGGAGTTTGCCCATCTGTGATAACCAAAGCATTGGGATATGTGGGAGGGTGGGATATTATTTTTTAGAGATTTTTGGTGGATTTTAACCAAGAAAAAATTTAAATTTAATTAAACCAGATAGACAGAATTTTAAAAAAATCGACGAGAGATAACGCAAAAAGGAGAGATTTTCTCTGCCTGTCAGAGAAAAAATTTAAAATAAATTTGAAAAAATATATTTAAAACATTAAATTAAATTTTTAATATAAAATTATTATATTTGTAATTTATTTGGTTTTTAAAATCACAAAAATAAATGCAAAAAAATCTAGGTTGCCCTTTTGTTTATTGAGTAACTTCCGGTTTCTTTAATTTAAAAAATTCAAAAAAAAATTGTTTGAAAAGAAAATACAAAGAAAAGAACAAAAATATAAATATTCATGTAAAATTTAGTAAAAGTATGAAAATAATTTTGTATAAAAATAAAAGGCGCCACAAAATAATTCGAAAAAGAGGTTTGGGTGAAGGGGGGAGGGGGACGGGGGGAGGGGGGAGGGGAAGGGGAAATTTTGAAGGAAAAATTATTTAAATCAAAGTTTTTAACTTTTTTATAAGGTTTTCTTCGATTTTTTGAACGGAAAAAACTAGAAAAAATAAGAAAAAGATAAGAAAAATTCTAAAAAATCTAAGAAAATTCTAAGACAAATTCTAGTACACCTAAAAAGCCCTCATCCCCTCATCCCAGAAATTTTATAAGATATGTTAGAGAATGTCAGCTCAAGTTCTAACAGACTCGAGATAATTCAGTGATTGCTATATTTAAGAGAAAATAATTTAAAAATCTTAAGGTATACAATTCTCTCAAAGAACGAGAGACTATGCAAAAATGAGAGATTTTCTCTAACTATTGAACTTAAAATTTGGGATAACTAAAGGATTGGGATATGTAGGAGGGGTGGAAATTAATTTTTAGAAATTTTATGAGGAGTTGAACCAAGAAAAAAAAATAAAAATTTAATTTAAACTAGAAAATAGAATTTTTACAAATAGACGAGAGAGTGTGTAAAAATGAGAGATTTTCTCTAACTATTGAATTTAAAATCTGGGATAACTAAAAGGATTTGAATATGTAGGAGAGTGAAAATTAATTTTTTAGTGATTTTATAATGGAGTTTAACCAGGAAAAAAATTAAATTTTAACTGATACCTAAAGAGATTTTAAAAAATAGGCGAGAGAGCGTGCAAAAGTGAGAGGTTTTCTCTAACAGCGAGAAAAGTTGCAAAACTACTTAAAATAAATTTAATAATAAAAAATATTTTCTTAAAATTAAACCAGAATTTGTTGAGAAATTTAAAAGCGGAAAAGAAAAGAAAAGAAGACAGTTAAAAATAAAAATAAGATAAAGTCAATGAAGCGGTTATTTGGGGGGAGGATTTATTGAAGGAAGGGAAGGATATTATAATTTTTATTGTTGCGCTCATCCCCCTTTCCAACAAAAGTACAACAACACACAACTCTTCTTTTTTCTAGGAGAGTTGATTTTACCTGTAATAACATTCCCAATATTCCCCCCTTTACTTTTTCTCTTCACAACTCATCTTTGCTTAGATACAAAAGATCAACTCGCTGAGAGAGTGTGTAAAAAGGAGAGATTTTCTCTAACTTCCCAATATTCTCCTTTAACTGTAATAAGAACGGGAGGGGAAAGGCTGAAAATCTCTATCTTATCCCTCTTTTTGGAAGATATCTCGGATCCTTTTCCACACCTCTCTAATAGTCGCCCACCCCCTGGTAAATGTTTAATTTAATTTCCCACTGCCAACACAACCTTCACGCCCTCACAGCACACTCCCTGACGACTTGCACCCAGTGAGCGTATGGCTATTTCAGGAGCCGGCTCCGAGCCGGAGCTAAGACTTTAAAAGCCCGGAGCCGGAGCCAACAAATGCCCAATAACGAGCACTGCTTGTACCCTTACGTCCTAGCGACCGCTCTGTTCCCCAACTCCAACCTCTGAAGGAGGCTGTGATAAGATAGAGATTTCACGGAAATTAGGATATCTGAGAGGGAATCTTCTGCATTACTTCGCTATTACCTTTCAAGCTTAAAAACAACAAAAATAGCCAATTTAAAATCTTTTGTCACCGTAAATTTTTTTACAAAATATCCCCTCATCCTTTTCTTATTTTCAACACTCAATTAAGTAGACAATTGTTTATCCATGCAGTTAATTGCGCATTTATTTTGCTAGCTAAAGGTTTAAAGGCTTTTCGGAAAATTGTCTCTCCGCTATTTTTGGTTAGATAAACAATTGGATTTGTTCTTTTAAAAGTTCCTTCTAATAGACGCCCTCTCTCTAATAATAGCCCTTTTCTGTTATAGAGGATTCTTTCTGAGGATGGGCGATTATTAGAGAGGGGGATATTATTGAAGTGAAATGCTCTAAATAATATAGGTACTTCTCTTTATAGGCCTCTCTAATAGTCGCCCACTCTCTAAAAAAAGGTACTCTCTAATAGAAGCCCTTTTATTTGAGAGAAGATTCTTTTGAGAGTGGGTGATTATTAGAGAGGGGGCTTTTATTGACGTAAAATACCTATAATACCACCTCTAGTCCCTCCCTAATTGTCGCCCACCTTCTTAAAAAGGTACTCTCTAATAGTAGAACTTTGTCTCTGAATATTAATAGCTCAACAATAATGACTCCCTAATCAACAATACTTGAAAAGGAATTCGATCAAATAAAATTTAAATAAAAAAACTTTGCTTAAAATAAAGCATAAATAAAAATAGAACAATTAAAAATGAATAAATAAACAAAATAAATTTATTAGAGAAGGAAAGCGATGCAATAAAAAAAAATAAATAAATAATTGTGGCCAACTCGGCATGACTCCAAAAAATTTTTTTTCTCCTTACAAAAAAATAGAAAATAAAGAAAATAAAATTCTTTTGTTATGAAAAAGGATTGCGCAGAATTCTTTCTAAATAAAAATTTAATCTTTAAAAGGGTATAATTGGGTGGTTTAAGGGAGACAGACAATTAGGTTTTAATGAACTTGTTTTTGTATAAAATCAACAGAGGAGGGTCTAGAAGCTTGAAATTTTGCGTGGATATGTCTAATATTGACAGCTAACAATTCTGAAAATTTCAGAATTTTTAGTTTTGTATTT